CATTATAATCAATCCTATCCAGGCGTAACTTGAGTTACGCCTGGATAAATACCTAGCTGTAACTAGAGGGCGTTTTGAAACGCCTATAAGGTATGCATTAACTAAAATCCCTAGTAGGCGTAACATAGAGAGGTTTGAAATGCGTAGCATTTTTGGCTAGAAATGCGTATAAAACGCATTTTGAAACGCCCAAATTATTTGCTGGGAGGGCACTCAGCAAACTCATCCCTGTCCTCAGGGATTTCCCCTTAAGTCTCTTCATGACCAGGGTCTTGCTGAGTTAAGATTTCATTGGAATTATCCATAGTTCTTTCTCTTTGATTTTACTATCAAAAAAATAAATTCAAGAACTGATTTTGAAAAGATAACCATGCCCTTTTTTCCAAAAAAAAAGGGGAGAAAGAGAGTATAAAAGCTCTTGAGCAAAAGATAATGGTTTTCTTTTCTTTTTCTTCTCTCTTCAAAAAATACTTTTTGTTCCTTGCTCTCGATTCTTGGGAAAAACGTCAACTTACGACTAATTGATTGGGTGATAATCCTTAAAATTCCATCAACTCATTTTGTCAAGTTGTTGTCAACATTATCCCTCTCTCTCAAAGAAACACTTTTTTGGAAAGAAAGGGGGAGAGCAGACAAAAGGGAAAAGTTCACTTTTCAACTGGCGCAAGGGTGAGAACATTGAATCCAGCATTCAAACCCCTGGACCCAGTTGTAAGCAAAAAATTCTCACTTATTTCTCCACTTTTTTCTTTTGACTAAGAAACACTTTGAATAATATAACTGCAAACAAACACATTTTTTCACAGATCCTCTCAACTTTGCAAAAAATGGCTACCTGGGTGGAAGTATGTGGAAATTCAAACACCCACTTCTTTGGGAAGCCAGAAATTTGCAAAACCTATTGGAACCAATCAAAAATTGTTCCTAAAAAACACAGGGTGCAGATCAAAAGAGGAGTGCGCATCCCTCTTTTCTCCCAATGGCTCAAAAAGAATTTGAGGAAAACGTCTCCAGGGAGCTCTTGAAAAACTTGCCCCTCCACTGGAGAGTGGAAGGACTTCAGCTGTCTACTGAAGAGATCTCCACAGAAATTGATGACAAGAAAAAACCCAAGACAAAGGTACCTGCAATACAACAATCAGTCAAAATTATTGGGAGTTTACTTTTTTAGCTTGGTACATCCTCTCCTGATGGGAGAGGACTTGGTTTCCTTTCTGACTTGTGCAAGAGACCAAGTTTGCCAAACAGGAGGATACCACAAGAATAACTCCCCGTGAGACCTCAACCCCTGTCCAACACGGTGCGCACCAAGTCAAAAACTGTGAAGGACAAAGATCCGCCTCAGGGTTTTTATAATGTCTTTGAGCAGTGTTTTTTTCTTGTGAAAAACAATCCGCCTGAAAATGAGGGGGATTTTGTGAGAAATTATCAACTGAGTCAGACTTCGTGTCATTTTTTTGACACAATTTATTGACCATCCCCAAAGTTTAGAGAAACTTTGGGGATTATTTTTTTGAAAGGGGTGTGCCAATGGAGATTGGCGTGTCAAAAGAAAAATGGCAAAGCCAGCTGGTGGCAGTTAAGACACCAAGGAGATAACCCCCCCAAAAAACGGTAGGGGTTTCCCAGTTTTATGAGGGGCTGAATTACCCCAAAATACAAGAAATTCAATGCTTGCTGCGCATGCGTTGCTAAAAACAAGGACGTAAAACAATCTGCGTCAAATTTGCCTGAAAGGAACAGATTCCTCTCTCATGGGTCTTTTTTCTGACAAACTCGTCTCATTATGGCAATTTAGAAAAAATGCTTGTTCCCAAAAAATTGGATTTTTGGGAACAAGCATTTTTTCTAAATTGCCATGCCCCAATAAATTGGCCCCTGGACAGTTGGGCCAAATTTACAGGGATCTGGCGGAAGTCCTCAACATTGCTGACAACAGACCTTGGACACAAACAAAGGAAGCCAACAGCATTAAAGGACAGACTTGCCAGCAGAGGAGACACAGTTACATTTTTGATGTTGCTTGCTGCAAAAGCTCTTTTTGGAATTCTTGGCGATTTACGGAAATCTTAAAACGTTCATTTGATGCAAGAAAGAAACTTGTGTTTGATACTTGGCTGTAAAAAAGTTTTGTATATTCCTGTGTGAATTTGAGAACACATTTGCGCTTATTCCGGCAGGTTGCATGCCTTCCAATTTGTCTACTGAATCATTTTTCCAAAAACCCCCTGACATATTTTCACAGGGATTGTAAATCAAGAAATCTCTGAGCATTTTCCCAGTTGTAAAAAACCACTTTTTAAGAAAAAAACTAGCCTCTCTGCTTTTTTCAGTACTACATTTTTCGTCTGGGAAATTTTCCCTGGATAAAATTTGTACAGTTTTATTGTAAACTAGATGGTGTTCCCAGGCCTTGGAAGTGAAGTGCAGAGGCAGCATCACAACCTCAGAAAAACACCCACAGAAAATCTCAACACAAATTGTGCTTGCTTTCTCACATGGCAACACTTATTCATTCTCCTAAAGGACCTAATGTCCCCAATTAAACAGGATAATCTCTTTGATAATGTAGAATGAACCCCCTTGTTAACCACGTTTTTTTTTTAGCATTGATGACTGATATTCCAATAACGGTGTGATGAAAAAATGCTGATATAGCTTATCCCCCAGCTTTTCCAGGAAATGTTGAGTAAATAGGGGCGGAAGCAACAGCCTGAACTTCCTTCCTGATGATGCTTCCCGATTAATAAGCGAGTCGCAGCTCGTTCCGCTTTCCTGGTTTCGGCCGAAATGACCCTGACTTCCGGATGAGTAGTTCCGGTTGCCAGTCTTACCCCGAAAGCTGTTCATTGCCAGGGTCGGTTGAAATAAACATGTGACCCGTATACATTCAAACACCACACCTGCATCATCGCCTTCCGCTTGCATGTAAAAAAAAAGGGGTGTTACAAAAGTTCTTGGGATAGGAGTTCAAATGGCACATGATTGAGCAAGAAGGCAACTTCTTTTCAGAAAAAAAAAATTCGTTGGCACAAGAAAAGCATTTCAGCCCTGTTCGACATACAGTTGCACCTCTTAATTTTTTTTCAAGTCCATATATGTCTGAATTCCCTTTGAAACAGTATATTAACCCCTGGATGGTGGTGGGTCAAATTCCATCCCGCTGTGGTGCCTGGATACTTTTGCATCTTTGTGCGTTTTGGTTTGACCCAAGGTCACCAAAATGCAGCTTTGGCTGAGTAGCTGAACTCAGGAAAAAATCCAGGGAAGGGAAATCCGTTGTTCTTGAAATCCCTTGATGATAATCCGATGACAGGAATGCCAAAAATGCCCACAAACATTAATTTTTCCCTTTGTCGATAATTTTTCTGCAGGAATGCTTTAAAAAAGTTCAGGATTTTTTCCAACTTTGGCTAATCTAATAATTTTTGTTTCCTCATTTTTTGCATGTCACAAAATTTTGCAGGATAAATTCTGGCACTGCATCCCAGGGGTTAAAATCCTCTCTAACTTGCAAGAAATTTTCCCCTCAAACCTCTGTAACTTAAATTTTTGAGGCCTTTTGGCTATTATTTTCTTGGCAGAGAAAAGCGAAAAATAATAAAAGAAGTAACTTGATGTGTTTTGAAAGGAAGTGGAAGACTCATTGAGCAAAAGAACCCTATCTCAAAGTTCAGCATCCTGTTAACTCATTTATAGGAAGCAATTTAAGGTCCAGAATATCACCATTTACCATTCCCTGCAATTATTAGATGTTTCCCACACAACAAAAAGCTTGTTTTCCCAGCAACTTGAAACCTTACAAACTTGAACCTGCCCTAAGTCAAAACCTTCTTAAGTCAAAGTTGTTTGCTGATCCCTTGAAATGTGACTTGAAGAGGTTTCAATTTTTTTTTCTGCAAAAGTCATTCTGGCAGTTTTCTGTTCTTCATGCACAAGATGAGATGCGCATCTTGCAGATTTTGTGACATAGTCCAGCTTTTCTTTAAGAATTCTTGAAAATTGACATGGTCTTAATTCCAAGGGTTGCCTGCCTCCAGGTATTCTGCCATTTTCATTAATGCCACTTTGAGTGAGAATGTGGCAGCTGTGAAGGCAGCTGTTGATGAAAATGGCAGAATTAATAACACTCCTTGGAATTATAATGACATGTCACTTTCAATAATTCTGAAGAAAAGCTGCTGCTGGGGCACACCAAAAAATCTGCAAGATGGGAGACTCATGTTTCAATTGAAGAGCTGAGAGTTGTCATAGGGTGACTTCTGCAAACATTTTTGATAAAATATGCCAAACTGAGCTTTTTTTGTGCAGAAAATATTTTTTCTGAACCGTAATTGTTTTTCATTTCTGACGTATGCCGTTTCAATTCCTATTCTGAGAAAATTTGTTTGACCCCTCGCATAGTTCCTGCTTTGATTTTTTTCTGCACCATGTTTCTCTGCCAAATAAATGAGGATGCGGGACCACACGTGCGTATGTATTTACATGAATCCGTTGTGATACACGGCATATAAAGAGTTGTTCTGGGATTTGAGTGACAACAATTTCGAGTTGGATCTCGAGCCGTCCACTTCCCGTGTGTGATGGTGGTTTTCTGGATAAGTTGAAGTGTAATAGAGAGAAACGGTGCCTCGGTTAACAGACTTGAGTCAATTCATATATTAGAAGGCAGACTGGAAAAGTGCAGTAAATATAAGCAGTTGCGAAGAATTTCCCGGGAGGAATTATTTTTCCATGTCACTAAAATGTTCCTCATGAAGTGAAATCCAGCAGAATTTTATCAGAACAAAGCAAATGAGAAATGGAAACGAGTTTCGAAAATCAATACAACTAAATTATTTTTATGACAGAGATTTTGGAACTTTGAAAAAAAAAACGGTTAAGTTGTATGGCAAACATTCACATCCTAATATAAACGTCTGTTTCGTGCAGAAAATTCGTATTACATCAGTTTTATTTCTGGAAAAAATAGGTGAGCTTTTTTGTTAGTGTGAGAAATAATGATTTCTGTGACAGTTTGTGGTTTGGTGCTTTTTGCGGTCATCTGCTCCACCCAAGCATACATAAACAGTGAGTCCTGATTTTTAAAATCAATATTTTATCTTGTTGAAGACGCTTTGAAAAGTTTACTTTTAAATTTCAACCCTAACCTGTTGGAATTGTTGCCGAAAAATTCAACTCGTATTTTTGCTTTTCCGGAAACCTTTTGTAACATTTTCTCCAGTGTAGCATTTTTTGAATGGTAAAAACATTATTGGACTTTGAAACCCACATTTTTAAAATTATATTGATGAAATTTCCACAAATTTTGGAATATTTCTACTATAGCTGAAGATGTTCAAGATGCACTTGGTTATTTGAAGATTTTTATAACGTTTTTGCATCTTTCATGATGCAGCAAAGCTGTCCTGCGGATCTTCAAATTTCCTAATTTCAAGACTGACAAATTGTTTGGCTTTCTTGAGGAAAAAATGTGCACATATTTGATCAAAAGGACTCTCAAAGGATCCTGATGGAAACTACCTGGGAATGTTACTCACATCCAACACTTACTTGTATGGAAAAGACAGGATATTTTTGTAAAATTGTCTTGTCCAGCTAGGACTCATCACAAATTAATAAGCCCAACCTGATGATGCATATAGGAGAAAGAAAAAGTTTTTTTTTTTTTAAAGGACAACACTGTTCTTCTCTTGTGCATTCCTTCAATTGGATTAAAAGGTATTGTCTTGAAAAACAGTAACGCACAGAACTGGCAAATATTTTTCCTTTGGCTGCTCAGTTATTCAGTTCAAGCTATGCTTTTGAGAGATTTGGTCAAACCAAAACGTACATGTGGTCATATTTAAAATAATCATTTACTTGGCTGTGCAACTATAAAAATTGGGTTGAAAGAAACTTTTGCCTCAAAATTTTCAGAGAAATATACCATCAGACTACTTCCATGAATAACAAACATATTTACTGAGTATGGATTTTTCAAGATTTTATTAAACTCAGCAACTGCTGAGTAATCAAATATTGCGATTTTTTCTGTGTCTTTCCAAAGGTATTCAAGAAAATATTTCAAGGAGTCCGTTTACCCAACTCTATATAACTGTATACTAATTTATTGGTGCAACTGAATTAATTACATGAAGATTAAATTAATAATTAGTTCATTGCATCCAGCATAATTAAATACACATCTGAATCCACAGTGGCAGAAGACACGGAATGTGGTCTTGGAACTTCCAGGGACAGCAAAATCGTGGGTGGATCCGAGGCTGGTCGCGGGGAATTTCCATTCATGGTATCTTTGAGGCACCACGTCAAAGACCGCCATTACTGTGGTGGAGCAATCATTAGCAAAACGCACATTATAACAGCTGCTCACTGCCTAGAAAGGTAAGTAAAGTACAGCACAAGGGATTCCTATTATTCTTTTCCTACATTTAAGGAAACAAAATTCTGAAAACTGGGAGAAATACTTCTGGTGAGGTCATTTCAAGTATGAAACCTGCTGGTCCATGTATCTTTTGTTGGTCTTTTAATTTCCAAATTTTGAATAAGTATTTTCATCTTCTAAAGGATTCATGGATATTTCCCAACTGAGGTTAAATTAGCAAATGCCATTTTCTTTTATTTAAAAATGTCAAGTGATGAATTCCTGCAAAATTTTCCAGGACTACAGAAGAAGGCTAAATTGCCAAGCATTTTAAACCACCAAAGCCAAAACAAACAAAGGATGGCAGATTATTGAGGTTTGACTGTACAGTCACACTTTGATAGCTGAAACCTCCAGGAGTCAAATTTTCCAAGTCCCAGTCAGAATCCACTTGAAAACAATGCAATAAAACTCCCCTAACTGGAAGGAATTTCTGTAAAACCTCTGTAACTCAAACTTTCCTAGGGCCTTTGACAATCATTTTTCTGACACAGGAAAGAGAAAGGCAATACAGTTGAACCTCTGTAAGTCAAACCTTGATAAGTCAAATACCTCCATAGCTTGAATTTTTCTCAAGTCCTTGTCTGAATTCTTGTAGAAACAACGTATTAAAAACCTCATTAACTCAAAGTCTTTTCATCTCAAACCTCTACAAGTCAAATCTTCTGATGGATTTTTTATTACTATTTCCTTGCAATATGAAAGAGAAAGTCAATAAAAGAAATGATTTTATGCATTTTGAAAGGAAGTGAAAGACTAATGAAACAAATGAACCCCTTTGTTCTAGTTCAGCAAAAAGCTGTGAACTCATTAAGAAGCAAGTTTAGGCCCAGAATATCCTCATTTATAATTTCCAAAAAAAAATTTTTTTTACTTCTTGTCCTCACAGAAAAAAAGAAAAAAAATGATTGTTTCCTTAACTGAAGACCTCCATAAGTCAAAATCTACCAAAGTTGAATTTTTTCATGGTCCCTAAAATTGTTACTTATAGAGAGGTTCAACTGTGAAAAAAATAGTAATGTGTTTTGAAAGGAGGTTAAAGACTAATTGGTATAAATGAACCCCTGCCTCCAAGTTCAGCATCCTGTCAACTCATTCAAGAAGCAATTTAAGGCCCAGAATATCACCATTTAAAATTTCTTGAACTTTGTCTATATTCTCCACAACAAAAATGCTCGTTTCCCTAACTCAAAACCTCCCAAAATCAAAATCCCCTTAAATTTCCCTTGAAATTTGACTGCAATAGGTTTTTTTGGGGGGCAAACAATGCCAAATATTCCGTTATATTTTACTGTAAAGAACTACATTCCCATTTTTAAAAATTATATATTTGCTTTAATTTCCATCAGGGGTTTGGATACTTAGTTTGGTTACTTAGAGAGGTTCAACTGTAAAAAAAATGATAATGTGTTTTGAAAAGAGGTTAAAGACTAATTGGTATAAATGAACCCCTGCCTCCAATTAAGTTCAGCATCCTGTCAACTCATTCAAGAAGCAATTTAAGGCCCAGAATATCACCATTTGTAATTTCCTGAACTTCTTCTATATTCTCCACAACAAAAATGCATTGTTTCCCTAACTCAAAACCTCCCAAAATCAAAATCCCCCTAAATTTCCCTTGAAATTTGACTGCAATAGGTTTTTTTGGGGGGCAAACAATGCCAAATATTCCGTTATATTTTACTGTAAAGAACTACATTCCCATTTTTTAAAATTACATATTTGCTTTAATTTCCATCAGGGGTTTGGATAAATTCGTGGAAGTCGCAATGCGAGAACACAATGTGCTTTCGCCGGAAAAGGGCCTGGATTCCTACCGTCTGCGCCCAACAAAGGTTTTTGTACACAGCAACTTTGACGCCATCCGGCTCAACAATGACCTGGCTCTCATCAAGGTCAGAGAGGGTCTCATACAATGGGACAACTTCACGTCTCCGGTTTGCCTGGCTGACCCAAGCGGGGTCGACGAAACTGTCGGCACAGTGGCAACAGTCGTCGGTTGGGGTCGTCTCAGCGAAGGTGACGAGATGAAGCTTTTCAAATAAATTTTTTGCTTCGTTATCGAAAAAAAAAACAGATTTTCTTTCAGGATTTTGGGACAATTATTTCCCGTTCTTTTTTTAGATCTTCGTTCGAAAAATTATTTTCACGATATTTCGGGACGATATTTTTTTATTGAGTGTGAATTTGAATTTTTAGGAGGAAAGAAGGCCGATGTCTTGCAAAAGGTGGAAGTGCCGATTTTGGAAAATTCGGTGTGTCGATCGAAGGTCAAAAAGTGGTTTGACATCCACTCGGGTCAAGTTTGCGCCGGATACGACTTGGGAGCCAAAGACGCTTGTCAGGTAAATATTTTTTTGGCAGTGATTTGACTAAAGAAATAGTCTACAGGAATGCAAAATAATGCTCAAATGAAACTTTTCGCAATATTATTTCTTGAAGAAATATTGTGGTATAGCATGACGAAAAAAATCCTGCCATTTATTTTTTTTCAGGGTGACAGTGGAGGTCCAATGGTTGTCAGGAAAAACGGAAGATTGATTTTGATTGGAATAGTTTCCGCCGGAATCGGATGCGCAAAACCAAATTTGCCTGGAGTCTATACAAGAGTTTCACATTACATGGACTGGATTAAACAGCAAGTCAACTCGTGAAGAATTCATCAACTGCCCGAAAAGTTTAGAAGATTCGCCGATGAATAAGAAAAAAAAACGAATTTTAGATTCTTGTATTTTTGTAATTTTACGGTACAATTCTGTGGAGAAGGGAATAAAATTTCTGAAAAAAATATTGAGGATACCGTCGACAATTTGATTTGAAACATCTTGTTCAGTATAAGGATTCTTTTTGAATCTGATTCAGATACACCAACAGAATTGTTTTTCCTCGCTAAAAAAAATTAGGTATCGTTGAACATATTACGGAAAAATGAAATAAATCTGCAAGCAATTAATTCTGAAAGTTGTGAAACTAAAGTCTGTATGCCATTAGACAGAAATTTTTTGACTTGTCCGCGTCGAGCGACACCTATGAGTCAGATCAACAACTTTATTCAAATGTTGATAACGCCCCCAACTGGTGATACCCCTAGACAATCTAAGAAGTGATCGAGGGATTTTTCTTCACCAATCAATAAATACTGTGTATCAAATAAGTCAATATAAATTTTTTCTGATGTATTTCAGAGTATTTGATGAAATAAAGTGTATTAGATCTTTCCACACATTGTATCTAATTAAAGAGCAAAGTTTTTTTGTGAAGTTTTGTTTGAGTATTGTACATATCATCTACAGCCATCACGCAGGTATGCCACATTTTTCTGGGAGAGCTTCCATTCAATTTTTAAAATTGTTTAATAAAGGGAGGTGTCATGCAAAAAATACTCATAATTAATTGTAAAGTCAAGAATATAATGATTAAAGTTATTCTGAGTTTTTTGTGAGCATGGGCATGTGATTTTCAGTGATATGATATCCCAATCATATCCCTACTAGAAAAAGGGATTAATTTCTTCACTTTTGGGCCATGAAGCTTTTTTTTTTTAACTTGACAATATTACTTGACATTAGTGGTACTAAATGAGTTGGCTCTAAGTTATGGTTTCCTCAGAGAAAACAATAAAGGGAGATTCGGTCCACAAAAATTTGTGTCTATACAGTGTATCACGAATTGGCTGTATTTTCTGTATAGCAGTGAGTATTATAAAAATATCCACAAACTTCCGAAAAAAAAGCACCACCTAGCGTATTCGTGTCATCCGCAGTTCCCCGGAAACAGCGATTCACACCGTGGAAGAACCGCTGATTTTTTTTTTCTTCTCTGAAAGCAATAAAATTTCACCATGAAAGTAAACTTCAATGTCGTCATGATGAATGCACCTCAAAAGAATCCCAGAATTTCAACGTAACTTTGATAAGCAGATTCTCGCGAACGTGCCCCATTCTCTTCCCTGAGGTCACACTATTCGGTTTAACTGTGTTTCAATGGTGAAATAAATGCATGGTTTGCTACATAATGCGTAATTAAATGCAAGAAGTTTCGGAATTTTAAAAATATTACCCTCATCGGTTCGGGAAATGCGTTGAATAATTTGCTGTGTTCAACTGTTGAATGAAAATGTATTTATTCGCACTTCGCAGTCAAGACAATAATAATTCATCAAATCAAGTGAAAAATCCAAGGAGTTTCAAATGTCACTGCCATTGATTCCTACACTTTTGGCAGCTACGTAAGTCATTAATTGAAAAGTTGACAACCAAAATGTCACATGATGATAGCAAACTAAAATAATTTGGAGTTGACCAAAAATTCCAAATTTTAAAAGGGATTTAAAGTATGATGGTTTCAAACAGATCTTATTCATACATGTATACCGTACAGATGGTATCTTGAAATTCAACATCCTGAAATTGGACTGTCCTGCAATTTTACAGCCAAATTTGCTGGGATATTGACTTGCAATTGGACTTCTGCCCCAAAATTTGACCTGCAGAGAGACCCAAAACCTCAAATTTGATGCTTTAAGGAGCAAATTTGACATTGTCTTGAAATGCAACTGCTCCACAATTTGACCCCAGCCTGGTAATGGATTATGGTCAAATAGTATAGGGCACCACCTTTAACACAATAAAAATACAGTGAGGGTGTGTAATGTGGACAGCCAGACATACAGACCATTTGACTTGGGGACAATTGAAAATGTTAAAAATTGGGCCTAATATCCAGCCACTATTGTGGCATACAGACACTTTTTCAGCATTTCTAGAAAAGTGGAAAATTATAATTTTTTTTTTAATTTGAATATCTCTGGAACAAATTCAGCTTTTTATATTTACAGAAGTTGAAACAAATATCATTATATATTTACTTGCATTTATAATCAAAGCAGGTTAATTTTGTGCTTATATGTTTTTAGCATTCTCTGTCATCCATGCACATATGATAGCAAGACATGCTGTTTGTATGTACTTTTGAGTCCTTTTCATGCCAGATGATCATATTCTGCATAGGTTTCTTTATTATGAATATTTATATTCTGTAGCTTTAAGTTGAGAAACACATTTATCTGATTTATTGGGGATTTATCCTAATTTTTGGTGAACTGGAGAACCATTTAACTTAGTACCCATTGGAGTCTATGGGAAAACAAGGTCCAACATGATGACATTCTGACATAGGGACACTGTCCAAGCACCAATTGCATCTGTATCTTGAGGCCTCAATGTACCACAAATTGATCAACCCATAATCAAGGCACTACTTTTGCATTTATCAAATTTTGGTACAGCAGCTGTTATTAGTATCTGCTCCTTTTCCTGATTTTGAGAACCAAGAATAATTGCAATCATGCTGAATGTTATTTTAAATATTCAATTATAGGAGTATAGTTGATCAGGCATTAATGGAATAGATTGTATATACAGTAAATTTATGCATGGAATATTTCAGGAGGCAGTGATGAAAATCAATTCACAGTCCCAGCCATTCAAGAAAACATAATCAGTTTTTGCCTATTTTGAAAAGGGTATATTGTATATCTAAAGTTTTGAAAACACTCCTCCCCTTTATTAAGAGCTATGTTTATTATATGATTAGGTTTTTACATTCAAGTTGAATCACAATTTTGAAACATTGTCAGAGAAATTCCCAGCATCATCATGGGCTGATTGTGCTAGTTTTCTTCTTCTTTCCCATTCATCATATATGACACCCACTCTGTTGTCATAACCTCTGTTCTACAGGTTATTTTTGTCAATGGCATCTTCTATGGAGGAATTGGCAGAAACATCTCTGAGCAGGCATTTGCTTGAGAACACAGAACAAGAAGAACTTTCCATGGCCCTTCTCTTGAACCTCACAGACCCTGTGAGGTACAACAAACACATTCCACCACCAAATGAATCTGGAGGATATGATTTACCATTGGTAGTCAAACACAGTGCTTATGTGTACTATGTTTCCAGTTTGTCTCCAAGCTCAACGGTGAGATCGAAATTGAAATGAAATTTATTTTTGACAAATTTCTGTAATATAGGAAGCAGAACCTTCTAATAATGGTTCTATTGAACCCATAATTGGTGATTTATTCTTTATTTTTGTGAATCTCTGAGGTTAAGATTCATGAAGCACCTCAACTGATGTACCTGATCCTAATATTCTATATTATTTGCCTTATTTCCTGTGCTTATTTTTGTGCTTGTGGAAAATGGAGTATAATTATTTTTTTTTTAAGTCAAATCCAGGGAAAACTCTAGAAATTATGTGCAAGAATTTTTAAATTCAGGAATATTGCCCTCTGTTTTCTGGATCAGGTGTTTTAAAATGTAGCGCAAGTTTAATTGCACAAAGGCCTACAAACATTTCATTAAGAGAGGTTATTATTAAGAAGTGTTGCTTTATGGAATCATTTTAAATGGATTGGTCTTCAATATACTGGGATTGACTATGAATTTAAAGTTGGGAAGTTTAACTTTGCAAGGTTTATTAACCCTTGGATGGCAGATGGTTCATTTTTGCATTGCGCGGCAGTCAGATTTTTTGGGGGTTTCAGTTTGAAACCCTCAACACATTTCAGTTCGACCCAAGGTCACAGAAATGCTCCCAGGTTGAGAAGGCCTAAGTTGGGAAAAATCCAGGAGGCAAATAATAAATTTCTCAGGAATTTCCTATGCCAGGAATACAGGAAAAAACACCACCCAGTGATGGATTTTGTTTTCATTAAAACCTTTCTGCAGGATTAGAAAAAAATATTGGACTTTTTCCCAACTTAGGCCTTGGTACAAGAGTAGGATTTTTTTATCTCCAGTGCTCAGTGGCACAAAATTTTGCAAAATATCCCAATTTGCTTTACAAGGGCTAGGTTATTTTCTTTAAAAGAAAAAAATTAGCTGCAATAAGATGAACAAGCTTTATTCTTCATTAGAGTATAAATTGGTTTCAAATGTATTTTTCCCTTGACGTAAAACTGCTAAGAATACAGTTTCATTTTCATGTCTTAAAAAAACCCTTTGTTAAAAATTTAGTATAATGTATATTGCTAAAATCCATAGCTCATAAATTTGTTGATTCAAGAGGGGTTTTTTCTCTCTTACTCTCCAACATGTCTGCGAAAAAATTTATTGTGCCTAAAATAAATAGATAACGATGTTTCCATGAGCACACGTGCATGCAAAAAAATATACAATGCAAAAAACAACCACAAATGAAATGATATTTCATCAGCTGGTGATGATGATTATTCCCCTCGCATATTTACCTTATACGAATGTGACTGACGCATTTCAAATTGTTGACATTCTTTATCTAGGAGTTTTAAAATGTAAACCGAACGAGGAATTGTGAAGTCGTAAAAATAAATCTTCACCTGATAACGATGAACGTAATTACTGTACCTTTCTTGACGCAGTACCTCATAATAAACAAGTGCCTGAGTAGATAAATCACGACGGTAAACCGGAAAGACAAATTTTCGTTCGTTTCCATATATTCACGCTTCCGTGAGTCAGAAACTAAATAACTTCTGAGTAATACGGGTTCTAAATGTGGACAAAAAAGAATGCTCTGAAATCTCGCGAGATACTCGTCTAATCTTCGGATGTAAGCAATAAAATACCAAGACTTTTATTTCCTTTGAGACGGCGTCCTTTGATGTCAAAATCGCAGTTTGAGCATACGCCATGCTTCGAGATTTATTGACGACCGAGTGCCACACTTTTCGTCAGTCAAGGTTTCAAAGATAAGTTCATTGTCAATGGAAACTTTGGAGGATAATTTACTTGACTGCTGTCAGCTGCTTTTTCGGCCTCCAGACAAAGTTCATGGAAACATTGCCCTATTTTCAAACGCCTAATGATTTGTCTGGAAATAGTACAGCTGAAATCGAATCCATGCCCCATTTTGGAATGTTTGCCTCCCAAAAGAATATGCGAACTGCGCAAAATTATTTGAAAATGTGGAAATGCCCCGCAATTAAGTTATCTACGAGCAGACACCTTATTTGACCATTTTCATACATGTTTTCTTGTAAATGGACACTTTCTATAAACCAAACTCACAGATTCCATTAGAAAATTGAACATTGATTTTCGGAATAGGAGGAAAGGGCTCTCAAGAACTTGGTATTTCCTTGAAGCGAGGTTCCTTGACTCATTTTATGTTTCATTTTAGGATAATTTTCTGGAAAACAATGGATGCAAAAACCCTGATTGCCAAATGGGGTTCACTGCAGGGAGCATGTAAAGCCCAATATTTTTAAATTTTCCTGAAAATAGTTCAGCTATCATGTGGAAGATACAGTGACATCAAGCAAAAATGAGTGTTTAGGGAATTTTGCTGTTAGTGAGTTGATGCTCTAAAAAGGATTCCATACAATAAGTATTGCACCAAATTTGATTGTATAATTTAACCAATCACCATGTGCACATTGTGAAACCACTTCAAGTCAAACTCAGGGTTAGAGAAACCAGCATTTGTGATGAAAAACATTTTAATTTCATGGGATGAAGTAAAAGCAATGGTCTTCTGGGTCTTGAACTGTTTGATATATTAATTTACAGGACTGAGATAATGCTGAACTTTGAAGCTGAAGTACATTTGACTAAATATTCACGTGCAGTTCAACCTTGATAACTCAAACCTCCCTAAGTCAAATACCTCCCTATATCAATGTTTTCAAGTCCCCATTTGAAGTCCCTTATGCAAACTATGAATTAAATATTCCCTTAACTTGATGACTTTTGCATTGAAACTTCTGTATCTCAACTTTTCTTAGGGATTTTGCTATTATTTTCTTGACACAGGATAGAGAAAAGTAATGAACAGTAACAATGAGCTTTGAAAGGAAATACATAAAAGTCTAATTCGATAAAGCAACCCTAGCATCATCCAAGTTCAGCACACTGTCAAGTCACTCAAGAAGCAATTCAAGGCCCAGAATATCACCATTAACAATTTCCTGCCATTCTTGTTTTAAATCAACCTTTTGAATCCTTGACATGAGCTAATTTTTATCTCATTATTTTGTTGGTCCAGTTCTGACAGTCAAAAAAGTTTTTAGTCACCCTAATGATTTTGTCAAGAGTTTGCAAAGTGACAGCTGTAGTCTAAGAATCTGGCAGAACCAGATGTCAGGTTGATAACAACAAATTTTGTTGGTCCAGTTCTGACAGTCAAAAAAGTTTTTAGTCACCCTAATGATTTTGTCAAGAGTTTGCAAAGTGACAGCTGTAGTCTAAGAATCTGGCAGAACCAGATGTCAGGTTGATAACAACAAAGAAATGTAAGAATGAAGGAACACAGTCATGCAGCCTTTAACGGCCAGATCCTCCAAATGGGAGTCCCTTAAATCAGCACACTTTAATTGCTAACCCACATCAGGCAACCGCAGAAGGAATCTAGCAGACTTTCAGACACTTGTACACGTCAAGCAGACAAACAGAGCTCTCAGAATCAATAACCGCTGTCAGGCAATCCAATCCAAGAAGTGAAGTCTTTGGGGACTTTGTCGGGCTTCCGCCGCCATCCTGATCATTATCAGCTAATCACCAGGTTTGCAGCATTGCAGTAAACTGGGTGCCTATCCACTTCTGGGTCCAACCCGACGTTCAACACGTAACCGCACGAGTTCGCTCCTACGATACGAACCCAGTGCGGCGCACCTGCGCTGGGGTGTGGTCTAAGAATCTGACAGAATCTGACAATACGACAGGACCTCGTCTATATAGAACACACCTGGTGGATGAGCTCAGCAAAACCTTCAAAAGTTGTTCTAAGCTATAACAAGATGTTGCTGCATTACACTTTACTTCCTAACAAAACTGACTTTTTTTTAAATAAAACCACAACTAAATCCCAACTTTCTCCATACAGCAATACAGCATCCACATGCTTCTAAGGCAACAATGGAAAGACCCAAGATTAGCCTTTGAAGACTACCTCAATTCTACCCAGTGGCAAGAAGTGGCAGACAAGGCACTCAAACACAACGTGGTGATCCTTGATGGGGAAGCCTGGCTTGCTGAAAAAATTTGGACCCCGCATATTGTTTTCATCAATGAACACGATTCGTCTGTTTTTCAATTTTCCAAAGAAAATGTTTATGTGGCAGTTGATGCAGATGGAAATGTCTTCTTCAACTCCAGGTAACCATGTCAGGCTCAAACATTTTTTGACACTATATGCAGGGTCCTTGCATGAAAAAATTAATTTCACAAGAATCAAAATTTTTATTGGGGATGTGAGGAGGAAAAAAAAAAGACTCGCAAATTAGAGTTTTTATGACTCATTTTGAAAAAAAAATTTTGGAAACCATAATTTGCATTATTTAAAGTCAAACAGGCAACAAATGCACTCAAATTAAATTTAAAATGTGGTTCATAGCACAGTTTTACATCCATTATTCAAATTCAAAGGGACCAGCAAAATCACCAGCATCCTCTGCATAATTTTTTGCATCATTTTTGCAGGTTGCGAGTGGAGTTTTATTGCGAACTCGACTTGACCTTGTTCCCGTTTGACGATCAAATCTGCCGACTGAAAATGGAAAGTTGGACACTGACAGAGAAACACATGGTATTGAAATGGATAACCCCAACAACAACTCTCAATTCTGTGGAAGTTGCTGATGAGTTTTCCATGTCAGAGTATCATCTGCACAAAATCGAAGTCAAGGAACAGATATACGATTATCCTCATCACATAATTGATTGGAATGGACCTAGAACAAGTAATAACCCGAATGTCCGGGTTCAGTCAACTGCTGCAAAGGGAAACGTGAAAGCACTTGTTGGAGTGGAAAAGGGGAAAGTTTATTTCAAAGATGGTATGTGCTGTTCATCAAATTTTTTTATATCTCTGGAAAATGAGGAATTTGCTGAAGTGTCTGTATGCAGTGAGACCCCAAGATGTTGACTTAATTGGGGCATCAAGAGTGTCCCTAAGTTGAAATGTCCCTAAGTTGAGTCTCATTTTCCCTTAGACTTACATTATGTAATTTTTAATTGGTGTTTTATGTACAAAATACTCACCTTAATTCCATGAAAATAAAAACTGTCTCCAAATTTAAACTGATTCAATCAATATATTTCAATGCAATATGGACATTTGGGTTTAACTTATGACTATAGAGACGTGGCACGTATCTTTACAACCGTAAGAGACATTTTTATTGTAAGTTCACTTTTTCTCTCTTCCTTCAGAGAGATACGACCTCCATTAAAAAAATTTTAACCGATTTTGGATGGTAAATTAGTGAGAGAAAGGCCCAAGAACTTTTCTTAAATCAATTTTAGGGTTGGAAATATCTGGTTCTTGTAATTTGGCCTGAAATATACGATATTTGCAATTTTATCCCAAAATGTACCCATGCTGAGTCAGTGTCCCCATGTTGGGCCTATTTTATTAATTTTTTATGGGAAAATATGTGTCCCTGTTTCAAATTGTCTGCGGGTTGAGGCATCCGCATGTGGAGGTCTCACTGTAATCGCATTTTTTTATGTTATGGAATAACTTACCTTAGCATAAATTTGTAATATTTGCTAGTGGATCAGAAATTAATGAATAAAGTAAAGTTTTGAATTAGCAAACTTAAACCCTTTATTTTTTGTCTTAGTCGGACACTGTTCCGGCCCTTAGGGAAATCCTAAAGAATAAATTTAACTAACTTACATAAAGTTTTAACACAGGGTGTCAAAGTTGTGTGTCTTATTATTCTTGACAACACAACACTCAACAGAACTCTACCACACATTTTTTTAATTCTTGCCAATGTTCACAATTTAGAAGTTCAATTGCAAGTGGCTTTGGGAAATTCGTTCTTCGGTAATTTTGGGAGGAAAACAGAAATCGGTTTCTGGTTTTCCTTGTTCTTTCTTGTGTGGTTAGCCTTGGTGAGTTCCTTCCCTTTGAGGGTTGGAACTCTTATCTGATTTTGTGGTGTTTTCTTTATTATTTTCATATTTTCTTTGTTGAGACTTCTTTGTCTCTAACAGCATTGTTGGCTCATTGCAGGAAATTTCAGTGGTCTGGAAGTGGAACTTCATTTTTCCAGGGTATTTCAACATTACATTCTCGATTTTTACATTCCGTCGTTTTTCCTCGTCATCACATCTTTCGTGTCATTTTTCATGGACCCAGCCGCTGCTCCACCAAGAGTAACTCTGGGTATATTTCCGCAAAAATTTTTACGAAAAATAATAAACCTGTTGCCAAAATTATATTTCGACTTTTTTTTGCAGGAACGAGTACCATGCTGACCTTCATCACTCTCGCAAGAGGCATTGAAGCTTCTTTGCCGAAAGTAGCTTACATTAAGTCGATCGAAATTTGGTTTTTCGGATGTATAACTTTCATTTTCTTATCACTGGTGGAGTTCACGTTGGTTCACAGCATTCAGTCCTCTGAGTAAGTATAGTATTCAACGCTCTTTTTTCCGGGGTTTTCTACATGTATTTATAGTCTGGAACCCCTTTTATTAGAACGTACTTTAGTCTGTAAAACTCTACTGTTGAACTGCCTTTAAAAGTAAAAACTAGGTGAAGTTCCTTCGGCGTGTATCACGTGAAGAGGGCGACACCGTCTCACATTATTCGAAGGGCAATATCCACATCTGCGAGCAGAAAAAATTCTGAGCCGAATTCCCTCAAATTTTCAATTCGAAAACGCAGATTGTCAGAAGACGGCATGAGAAAAACGGAATCCGTGCCTGATTTCAATGAAAGAACAACGACGTCCGTTGAAAATTACCTTACGGTAAGGAATACATATTTTCTCCATATTTCAAATTCATTTTCATTCTGAAAGCCGTATGAAATAAAAACCTGCTTAATTCACGGAATGTTTCAAGGAAATACTTTTAAAAATGATGATGTGAGAAAAACGCTCCCGGAAATCGAGAGCTGTTCATGAAAAATATGTGAATTATTTTCTAAACAAGAATTTATTCATAAAGAAACTCCTTCAAAGAAAATGAAGCTCGATTTTCCTGTTTTATTGTTGGAACAGTGGTCATGAAAGTAATGATCACACCTCCATTCAACATCCAACTCTGAAGAAAAAACAAATGAAAAGAAAAAACATTTTCTAGCTCTGAAGAAGATTATTCAAGAACCCTCGAAGGAAGAAAATTAAATTAAAATTTATCCTTGAATTTTTCCGGTCATGTTTTTAGAGTTTGACTCATTAATTGTCACTCGCGTGAAATTCAGAAGTTTCCTCATTAAAATTGTATAGTCTTCAAAGAAAATTCCCCTTTTTCTAATTCAGGTGTACGACAATCCACTCATTCAAGGCATAAGTTTGTCAAATCCTTCCACGTTGACGAATCGAGCCACTTTTGAAAAGGTCCCGAGCGTTCATTCAGTTTTTTCCGCGTCTTCAAGCATTAATTTCGAACAAATGGACGAGATGGAATCGCGAAATTTGTCAACTTTGGCAAGAAATGATGATACGACAACTCAGGATTTAGAGCGAACCCGGGAAGAACTTCGCAAGTTCACACGGAAGAAGAATGGGTAACTGGAACATCATTTCAGTTCAATATAATAAAAATGATTTGAATCAATACTGTATTACTGTACTGATAAATATTACAAATAATTACAAATTGTATGCGCACATTTCTCTACAAGAACTGTTTACGGCTTCAGTATAACAGTGACTCTAACAAATTATGCAGTATCTTAAAGCAAGAAATCTTTCTTGAAGATCTTCAAAGTGGTTTTTGTTGCTCTATTTTCTGTGTATCATTGTTGCCTTTAAAAAAATACTATTTGCCTTTCAAAGAGCTCTCAAATATTTTATTTTAGATAGATTTCTTCTTTCAAATCGAGCTACTTAAATTCATAGCTCACTCAGAAATTGAGAATAGGACCATATATTCATCTTCCCATTTCCCCAGAAATAAAATCATTTTGAGCATCATTTTCAAAAAATAGGAGACCACAGAGCAAAAAATTAAATTCATGACGCCGTTTTTGAAGTAATTTTTTGGCACAGTACTGGAAAAAGGCTTGGAAATTATATTTTTGCATAAATACGATTAAATGCACTCAAATATAAGAAATAACGCCAAAAAAAGTAGTCTAATTGTTTATTGTCTCCTCATAATTTCAGACAAAAATACAAAAACTTCAGTATAACCTAAAATATTCTTTGAGTGGTTTTATATTTTTCAGAAAAATGTTTCTTGAAACAAATTCAAAGTAATCCGTATTATAAATCTCATATGGTCTCTTCTCAAAAACGTCCGTTTCAACTGAGAAGCATTATTTTTTTATGTTCGAAGGTTCATGTCTAGAATTGTCAGCACGCTGTTTCGCTCATCTGCGCCAAAAATTGTTGTCCTGGATGAAGAGGATTCAGCAAAGGCGAGAAGGAACCAACCAAAACTCACTCCAAAAAAGGCCGCCCGAATTATTGACAGATATTGCAGGTTGATATTCCCTCTTGCTTTCGGAATGTTCAATCTATTTTATTGGCTGAGTGTCATGTTGTTGTAAGATTTCAGTCTGTTTATCTCCTGTAAATGCATAACTTATGATTGAAGCAATAACACATTTCTTCAGAAAATTTCTGTTTGCTGTTACTCTCCATTTTCAAAATGCAATGCCATATACTGTATTGACTGGAGTACCACATGCCCTTGAGTAAGGCGCGCGCAGGGGGTTTTCAGGTGGAAATTTTGCTAAAACTTTATCCCCAAGTAAGACACGCTCCGCAATTTTTAGTGAATACTAATACTTTGACTAAAGGTCACTGAAATGCCCCCAGGTTGCCAAGGCCGAAGTTTGGAAAAATCTGGGTACAGAAAATCCCATTGTCTCAAGAAAACCCCAATGTTACTCCTATACTGCGAATGCATGAAAAAACTTCACCAAGTGCGGCTTTTTTAGCTAAAATCTTCTGCAGGATTATAAAAAAAATATTGGACTGTTTCCTGACATATAGGCCTTGGTTCAAAAATTTGAATTGTTTTACATTTGCAGCCCTGATGGGGATGACAAAATTGTGCAAAAATATCCTCACTTTGCTGCACAAGGATCAAATCTTCTGCAATTCACACTCTTGTGTAAAAAAAATCTAAATTATGCATGTATACCTGTTTATTGGAAACTTTCTAACAAATTTCCATTTTGCCTCATGATTTCTGGAAATTCCGGGAATCGGCAAGACATCTTTATAATTGTGAACATCATCCTAGAGTGAACCTCATAAAGGGTATATAAAAATCTGCTGGAGGTTTTATGAATGCAGATTTGTATTTAGTTATTTTTAGTGATTTATCAATATAACTTTGTGTTATTTTTTTGTAAATTTGTGTGGCCTGTGCGGAATTGGTCCTGGCCATATTCAATTCCAAATATGTATGGGGTCCTGAATCAAGTTTAACGTCGAGATGCCGTTGATTTATGAAAGCAGATGGCGATTTTAGAACACAAAGGTGCTCCAACAAACGAGGACGGATGCTTCTGTCACGATCGGGTCAAAATGAAGGCTAGACTATGTTTGTATAATAAACTATATTCATCAACCGAATTTAATTGAAAAGAACCATCCATTTTGAAGTAAATGTATTTTCATGTCTTTTAAATTTGTTATTCAATGCGCAGAAACAATGTGTGTTACTTTTATCTCCCTTGAACATGCAACGAATAGAAAATATGCGGAGCCATGGCACATGTAATCTTCAAAACCACTTTCAAAAATGTGTGTGAGACAGAACTCAAAAATTATAAAAATTTCAAGGTCACCAGTTGGATACATAATTCCAATGCTTTTAAAGAGGAAACGTGCTGATGGAGGTTTTTTTTCTTGGTTTGGTGCAAGGGAGACATGAAACAATATTAACGGCCATCCTGAATTGATCCTTGGACCCATGAGGAATCTTATGAGCAACAAAAAAATAAATATGATTGAACAAACTTACACCAACTAAGTTATGAGTGATTACTACTTCACTCATTTCAAGTTGTAAAAATGTATTTACAGATATATTTAACCCCATGCAAGTAACATTCATGGGGCACACCTGGAATCAGCATCGCAGCCTTGGAGACATTTAAGAAGTAGTGACACCTACCTGAGATCTACAAAACTTTAGCGGCAGGGAAAACGCATGATCGCATCGTGTCGCTTTAGTGGAAATGCGTCATGAACTTCAAACAGCTGTGCGTTTTTCCACATAAATAATGTTACACCATCAGAGCATCATCATGCATCATTAAATAACTGATGACATCAGCGCTATTTCCGGTTGTTGTATTCTCATTCTGATGGGTTGATCAAACACAGTGAGGCCCCAAAATGCAGACAACCTGACAATTGGGCAATTTGACTTATTGGGAGCACTTGAAAAAAAAAATTGGGTACAACATCTGGACTATATCTGGACATACAGATAATTTTTCAACATTTCTAGGGAGTGAAAATTTTAATTTTTCAAAATTGGTATGTCTCTTGAACAAAGTTGATCTTTTTATATTCACAGAAGTTAAAATCAATATCATTATATATTTACAGTAATTGAATTTATAATCAAAAACAGGTTAATTTTGTGCTTATTGTTTCAGCATTCTCTGTCATCTGTGCACAGAATTGCAAGACTTATACTTTTTGTATGCATTTTTGAGTTCTTTTCAAACCAGAGGATCATATTCTATGTGGGTTTCTTTATTTCGAATAATGATATTCTGTATGTTTATGTTGAGAAACACATTTTATTTGATTTTTTGGGGATTTATTCAAAATTTCCCATTAACTTGAGAACCAGTTAAATGAGTTGCCATTGATGGTCTTTGGGAAAACAAGGTCCAACATGAGGACATTGGGAAATTGTTCAAGCACCAATTATGTCCACATCTCAGGGTCTCACACTATATGAAATAATGTGACAGCTGTTATGAACCTTGAAAAATTCCATTTCAAATCATGTCAAGGTGCGTGGTTTTCAGGGTTTCATTTCAGAACCCAAATTTCTTTTTTTTTATTGGATTTGAGCAGAGATTCTCATTCCTCTTGAACTTACAAGACATTATTTTGGATATCAGAATATTTTTTCAAAAGAAGAGAATAATTCGGTGACTCCTACTGCTGTGAAATACCTTCTGGAGATGCTGAATAAATTGATGGGTCATCATGGAAGAAATTATACTAAGAAGCAGCACAGTGAAAAAAAAGCACACGCCATCAAATATTTTTTGCAATTCGCTGGCAGCCATGATATATACAATGCGATTTATTTTTCAAATGAATGTGCGGGTAATAATTTTTTTCTGAGAATTATCGAATAAAAATAGATCAAATTCGCCAAATGATAATTATTGGCAGCCCGAACTCATGGGGCGAAAAAAAAATATTTCATGCGAGATGTGTACAAAGATAATTTTTGTGGAAGACAGTCGATTTGCGAGAAAATATTTTGGGATGAAAAAAAAATGAAATCCCTCGATTGTAAATACAGTACAGTACTGTACTTTACAGATAGCACAGGTTTTCAAGGTCACCGTGCCTGTTGAAAAACATCAGGTGGCTTTACGTTCCTCATTCTCCCTTGAAAAACCTCCCTTGCGAATGGGAGAGAATATCTGGGGATGTGAACCCCGGGGGAACCTATCTACCGTACCCTATAGGATTGAACTGTACATACATATACATTTTGTGTGTATGCTGGGTGGGTGCATGTGTGAGACACGCGTGTGAGTGGGCATGAGGGAAGGGAACCATGGGCCCCGAAAAACGGGGTCGACAAAGACAGAGAGCAGATGAGAAAAAGGGAAAACCCCGCCGATGGGTATCAATCACGGCCCCCCCACTTAACGACCACGTCATTCCCGAAGACTATTTCTGTCCTGCAGTGATCGTCCTTTGCGTGTCCCTTTGGCACAGGCATATGGGTGGAAACCTATTGGGTTCCACCACATCAGTGGGGAACCCGTCCTTTGTGGATGGTTGGCCTTTAATTTGGTGTGGTGTTCAGCTTCACTTCTGTACTTCCTTGTGTTTAACCCTTGGGCGGTGAAGTTGGACTATTTTTGCAAAATTTTGTTGCACCTCAGGGCAGAAAATAAAAAAGGACAACAGGGATATGAGGACAAAGTCCGGGAAAAATCCAATGTTTTTTTTCTTTTTGCACAGAAAAATTTTGTGGGAAAATGAAAAAAATGCTATGCTAAGCAATGGGCTTTTCTCAGATTAATCCCAACTTTGCCTCAGCCCACCTGGAAGGTCTTTTCTGACCTTAAGAAAAATTAAAACGCCTTAGCATATGAAAATAATCCGATTTCGGCCGGCAATGGGAAAGAACCCTTTGCTGTCCAAGGGTTAAACCAGGGAATCTCAATACTTCCATGAGGACCATATGGTTTTTTTTTAGTAATATGTCGTTAGTACTTTTAAAACACCGTAACTATAAATGTATTTTGAACACTTGACAAAAGGTTTTAGCCGAGGTAGTTTAGGTTTAACAAATACTTGTTTAGTCGTAAAAAATTATAAAGGAACCAACTTTTGCTGCAGAATACAGTGAGACCCCAAGATGCAGAAATAATTGGTGCATCAGGAGTGTCTTTTCAGTTGGAATGTCCCAAAGTCAAGTCTCAATGTCAAGTTTTGCACACATTTTTTAAATTGGTTTTGCAGATTTAAAAAACTGGAGGACATACATTACAAGTGCAAAGGGTTTTTACTCATTCTTTATCTAAAAAAAAACCAAGGTGTGAGTCATACTCATGGATCCATGGTGTGTGAGTACAGCTACAGCATACAGTACTGTACAATAAAATCTTCTTACAACAAAACCATTGTGAACAATCCATTCAGCATTTACAAATCTATTGAAGACTTTGCCGGGAATTTAATAGGGTGAAGTAGAATGGCAACCCTGAATTTGCTGCAACCTTCTGTTCTTTTTGGCACTGAATATAATGTATCAACGTAACTGAAGATTTGTTCAGGTAAAATTTGTTGTCAAAAGTGGAAGTGGTTGCTCCTTTGAATCAAGCGTTATCAAATATTATTTTTGGTTTGAAATACAGGTGAACCTTGATAACTCAAACTGCCCTAAGTGGAATAAACACCTAAGTTGAATTTTTTTCATATCCCCATCTGAATCTCCTTAGAAACAATATATTATAAAACTCACGAAGTCAAATGCTTTTCCCTCAAACCTCCAAAAGTCAAATTTTCTGTGGCCTGTTGGCCATTATTTTCTTAAACCAAGAAAGAAGAAAGTAATGAAAATAGAAGTGCATGGGTTTTTAAAGGAAGTGGAAGACTTAATTGGGCTAATGAACCCCTGTCTCCAAGTTCAGCAGCCTTTTCAACTCATTTAAGAAGCCATTTAAGCCCCAGAATATCACCATTTACATTTTTCCGAGTTTCAACCTGTAAAATTCTCAACCTCCCTAAGTCAAATTTTTTTGCAGGTCCCTTGATATTGGACTTGGAGAGGTTCAACTGTACAAGACTATTTGATAGATCCTCAATGCACTAATGATGATCTACATGGAAAACTTACAACAACCTTCATCAACTTTTAAGCATGTAAAACTTCTGTGCTGACTCCAGGACGCATCTTTCACAAAGCGTATCGCATGTGATACGTTTTGGGTGCGGGTACGAATGCCAATGCGACAAAATCCCGCCGTACCCTCGAATTTTCTATTTGTAAAATAAAAATTGATAAAATAATTATTGATGAATCTCATCTGAAATCTGATTTTTTTCGAGTCAACTCCCCATATTTTTATTACTGCAGTTTTACCTTAATTGTGTTAAATTTTTTGTCAATTGCTGCATGAGGTTCCATCAGGAAAAAAGAGGTCAATTCCGTGTCGCTGTATTTACTTGTCTTAGATGGTCCTGGTGGAATTCGTGGAAATAAGAATGGGAAATGGGATTAGGCTCGAGTTTTGTTTGTCGTGAGGGCGTTTTGTAGTGACACCTGCCCGTGTCATGCATATGAAGGAGTATAGGGATTCTATTTCCCCGCGAAACTGCGTCACGTCAACCCGGATCGCACCCCGTGACAGCCCTTGAACCCAATCTGCACCCGGCGGGTGGGGTTCATTCACTGCTGCTCCTCGCCCCGACGCGCAGTCGACGCAATCCGACCAGTTCCGAATTATTTTGCACTATATTTATAAATACCTCTAAAACCTACAGAGTGTGATTTTTATCTTGTTTTCTTTTTGAGGCAAAAATTCATGTACAGTGAGACCCTGAGATGTGGACGTAATTGGTGCATCACGAGTGTCCCTAAGTTGAGTCTTATTTTCCCTTAGACTTACATTATATAATTTTTAATTGGTTTTTTATGGACTCACCTTAATTCCATTAAAATAAAAACTGTCTCCAAATTTAAACTGATTCAATCAATATATTTCAGTGCAATACGGACATTTGGGGAATTGAATACTGATATCTCTGCACCGTGCATAGAAATGTTGGCATTCTCTGTAAAAATAACATTCAAGTGAAAAAGAGAGAAGGAAGTCTCTCTATGCTGGAGGTAATTTTTTTAAAATTGGCTAAAAAAAAAGAGAGAAGGAAGTCTCTCTATGCTGGAGGGAATTTTTTTAAAATTGGCTAAATGGATGGTAAATTAGTGACTCTTTCCGGGTTCTTGAAAAGAATTTAGTTAAAATCCCAACCTTTATAGACAAAGAAAATTAAACCAGACTTTGCATAAACGTTAAAATAGTGTTTTACAGGGGTACAACTCAGTCACAGGGGCACTTGGGGCTTTTTTATTAATTTTTTATCAGAAAGCAAGTGTCCCTATGTCAAATTGTCCGCATGTCAAGGTGTCTGCATGTGGGGGGTCTCACTGTATTTTTTTTATGGTGATGGGGGAAAAAAAACTGTGGGATCCAAGTAGTTCTTAGAACAAGTTTTGTGAAGCAGAAAGCATTTTTAAACGTCGTCAGTCCCAGTATTTTTTTCAATTGGCATGCACGAAATTTCATTTTGCAGTGTTTATAAACCTTTCGAATATGTATATTTGGTCATTTTTCTTTTGTGGAAAAAATGCAGATATTCATATGGTGATGAGCGGGAAAAAACTGAGGGATCGAAGTTGTTTTTGTAATGAGTTTTGTGAAGCAGAAAAAATTTTATAACATCGTCAGTCCGAGTATTTCTTCAATTGAGTGACCGAAACTGCATTTTGTACTATAATTTCTAAACCCTTAAAACCTTCCAATTGTGTATTTTTGTGGCGAAAATTCCCTTATTTCTATGGTGTTGAGGGAATAAAAACTTCGGGATCGAAGTTATTGTAATTATAACGAGTTTTTAGAAACAGGAAACATTTTACGACGTCGTCAGTCCGAGTAATTATAAAAATGTGATACCCGAAATTTGTTAAATTCGAAAAAAAAATTCCTGTGTTTTTCCTTGTACATGATGAAGTGGTAATCATGTGGGTAATTTGTTCGGGTGTAAATGTTTGCCAATTATTTATTTTGCAGACCAAACATGGCGCCAACGAGCAGTTTGAAGGACTCGTTTCTGAAATGGCGCGGATTGTTCGTGGTGCTGGGCGGGTTTTTGATCCACTTGTCTTTGGGCAGTGTCTACTCCTTTGGTGAGTTTTTTTTTTTCAATCGTCAAAAAAGAGTAACGAGTGAGTTTATAAGTGTCAGTTTCTTGAGAACAAAAAATGGTTGGCTCAGAGCTCCCATTTTAGAATCAGGATCTTACAAAGCAGAGAAGGATTGATTTCAGGTCTGCATGTTTTCATCTGTTGTTTAATTTTTTTTCCTAAAAACCGACATTCTGAAACTTCTTGAACATTTATGTCAAATGATGTTAGATTATCGGTCATATGTGTGAAAAGTCTGAAAAAAAATTGCTAGGCAGACTTTAACAATTAATTGAACCCATTTTTCTGAGTTTACAGTAAAAACCAAAATATTGAGCGCTGGCACTACTCTGATAATAATCTATTTTAGTTTATAAAAACGCCATTTTACCATCCATCATAATGGCATTTCAACGAGGGAAACTTGACGAAACTGTTCGACTTCCTCTTGCGTCTTTTATAGTCATTTGATAGAAAATTTCTCAAGTTTTTGCCAAGCAAAGACGATGAACTAAGCTAATACTCCTTAAACCGGAAATAAGTAATCCAAAATTTGTTTTATAACTTATTAAATTTTGCAAAAATTGGAGGTACCTACAGTAATTGGAAAAAACGAGAATATATTTGCATGAGTACCGGTTCTGTCTCTTTTCAGAAAAAAATCTACCGATTATCTTGTCTATTTTTGTGAGTATTAGACACAACAATTGGCAGTGAGATACGTTATGTAAAGTTGGACTATGGTAAGTTGATCTTACTTAGTCAAAATTGTACGTGAAGTTATTCACTATAAAGCAGACCCTGACCTAATTCCCACGATAGCAAGAATTATAGGGGCAAGATTTACTTTTAAAAATAGGTTTTTTAGAGCAAAATAGTTATGACTCAAGGGACTTCGAGGGTATTACTGAGAAAAAATAGTGCAGAATACCAAGCCCCCAAAAAATTGTCAGGAAGTGGATCTTTAAGTAAGTAAAGTTGATCTTTGTGTTATTTTATTGTGTGAAATGTGTGTCATGATGCAAAACATGATTCAACTCGTGTTGCAATCGAGATTTTCGCAATCCGTTCCAAAATTTTTCATAATGATGTATGAACCTTGAAAACTGTTATCTTTAGCGAGTTATAAGCCCAAGAAGAATTTGCATTTTCCTAAATCAAAACAAAATATCTTTGGAAGTTTGTATAATTCAAAGGAAAATTTCGAAATTTAAAATATCCCTTCAGTTTGTGCCGGGTGAAATTTTTTTTCCAATTTCAAGCTTTTTTTTACGCTTGTTCCTTTGGGACAATTATGTTGGTCACTTATAGATCTTTTTTTTTGCTTGGAAATCTGTCATTTGAGGCCCAAATATATTTAAATAATTAATCCAGAAAGGCATTTTCCTTGATCAGCCATTTTTCTGAACCTGAAAATTTGGTGAAATAAAGTTTATTATGAATGAATGAATGAATGAACAGAACACTTTATTTGTCGCTTTTCAGCATTCACAAGGTTCAATAAAAATTTCCACATCCAAACCCCTTTCCCACCCAACCCAAATCCATTCAAAGACATTTAATCACTTCAGAGCAGGAAACAGAGCACAAATTGATAACAAAAAGAAAAGAAAATGCAATCCACAAAATACAACTGGAGTTTATTACAGTATTATGGGTCCCTTATTCCAGTTTGACTCAGCAATGTTCACTATACATTTTGCAAAACACATTAAGACATTTTCCAAGATCCTCTCTGGATGTTCGTTTCATTTTCAATTTCTGTTTTTATTCTCCCAGGGAACTTGACAACATACTTGACTTCGTACCTGAACAAGAGAACCGACCCGGGATGGACCTACGAAAAGTCCACTTGGATCTTCTCCGCCTCCATGATGGGACTCGGTGGGTTCATGGTCCTTGGCGGCTACATGAACCTTAAACTCGGCCCACGAATCACCGCCATTGTTGGCTGCTCTCTAGCAACGTAAGTTGTGATGACTTCATGCCGAACAAAAAACAAAATTTTCCAGGTTTTAAAAGTTTATAAATACAAAACGGGTTTACACGGTTCCGCGCGGATCAGCGTGTTGCTGCTGTTCTGGAAGAGCTTTTAAAAATTTGACAACTGAACGGTTCAAAGCGTGTTTCAAACATGCATCAAAATTAAGGGCTAGAATTGTGTACCAATTGGTGGTGATTACTTTGAGAAGGTGTCTGCCTGTAGCCTCTTGAAACTATGAGAAAAGTGTTCTAAAAAAAATCCTGATGGTGTTCAGATCACTTCAAGTCCGCGTGGAAACGTGTAACCCGTTGTAAGATATATCATATGACTCGTATTCTATGATGAAGCTCTTATAAAAAGTGGCATATTCAGTGTGACCTAGATCAGGTTGGAATAATTTTTATAACAGAAAAAAACCATAGTTTTGCTTGAAGATCAAATTCCAGAATATATACAGTACTGTGTCAAATATTGAGTATGGTGAGTCTCATTACAAATAAGAAAATTGATGTGGATTATCAATTTCCTTCAAGGTTCATTGTAGGCTTGCTATCTGAGTCATTAAACCTTAGATGGTGGAGGGTTTCTGGCTATCCTGCAACAAAGTTGGGATTTTTTTTGGGGAGGGGCATTTCAGTTTGACCAAATAAAAGGTCACTGAAATGCCCCCAGGTTGCCAATAAGGCCCAAGTTGGGAAAAGTCTGGGTACAGAGAATCCCAACTATGCTGGGAACGCATGAAAAAATGCCTCCCAGTGAGGATTTTTTTTTTTAGCCAAAATGTTCTGCTGGATTATTTAAAAAAAAATATTGGTCTTTTTCCCAAATTAGGCCTTGGTTCAAAAATCCCATTTTTTAATTTTTGAGGCTCAGGGGAACAAAATTTGGTGAAAATATTGCCAACTGTGCTGAACAATGGTTAATTATCTGGACACCTACTGTAATTCTGAACAAACAGGACAAGGAAAAGATAACTCATATACAGTGGTACAGTGATAAGTATTATGTAAATACTCTTACAATAGCATCATTAAAAAGGAATCACAAGTCTGATGAAGCCTCCAATTTTTTGAATGCATTGCTTATTGTTCGAAATACAATTTTGAGGAATTTAAAAAGTTTTGAAAAACGTTTCCAGCCATCACAAAAAAACTAACATAGATAAACTCTGATAAAAATTCTTTGGACAAAATCTGTAAAAATAAAAATAAAAATTCCGAGAAAAGATGAAATCAAAATTTTCGAGAAACGATTTAAAAAAAATATTTTTCGTCTTTGACCCACATCTTCTGTCCAAGTTCNCGGGATGGACCTACGAAAAGTCCACTTGGATCTTCTCCGCCTCCATGATGGGACTCGGTGGGTTCATGGTCCTTGGCGGCTACATGAACCTTAAACTCGGCCCACGAATCACCGCCATTGTTGGCTGTTCTCTAGCAACGTAAGTTGTGATGACTTCACGACCAAAAAAAAACAAACGAAAGTTTCCAGGTTTTAAAAGTTTTATAAATACGAAACGGGGTTACACGGTTCCGCGCGGATCAGCGTGTTGCTGCTGTTCTGGAAGAGCTTTTAAAAATTTGACAACTGAACGTTTCAAGGCCTGTTTCAACACATGCATCAAAATTAAGGGCTAGAATTGTGTACAAATTGGTGGTGATTACTTTGACAAGGTATCTGCCTGTAGCCTCTTGAAACTATGAGAAAAGTGTTCTAAAAAACCCTGGTGTTCAGATCACTTCAAGTCCGCGTGGAAACGTGTAACCCTTTGTAAGATATATGATATGACTCATAGTACAGTATATGATGAAGCTCTTATAAACAGTGGCATATTCAGAGTGACCTAAATCAGGGTGGAATAATTTTTATAAGAGAAAAAAACCATAAGTTTGCTTGAAGATCAAATTCAAAAATATATACAATACTTTGTCAAATATTGAGCATAAATTGTGGGTTTCATTACAAATACGAAAATTGATCAACTTCAGGGTGAATTTCATTATTTGAAAAAAATTGTGTTATGTGAATTATTATCAATTTGCTTTAAGGTATACATTTGTAGGTTTGCTATCTGAGTCATTAAACCTTGGATGGTGGAGGGTTTCTGGCTATCCTGCAACAAAGTTGAGATTTTTTGTGGGGAGAGAAAATTGTACTGTACAGAGAGTCAACCTGTATTTTTTTTCATCAGGGGTGATACTTCACTTTACTAACCCTTGTACAGTGGAGGGTTAGGGCTGTCCTGTGGCAAAGTCTGGATGCTTTTGTGGGAGGGAAATTTCAGTTTGACCAAAGGTTACTGAAATGCCCCAAGTTGCCAAGGCTTAAGTTGGGAAAAGTCTGGGTACAGAGAATCCCAACTATGCTGGGAACGCATGAAAAAATGCCTCCCAGTGAGGATTTTTTTTTTTAGCCAAAATGTTCTGCTGGATTATTTAAAAAAAAATATTGGTCTTTTTCCCAAATTAGGCCTTGGTTCAAAAATCCCATTTTTTAATTTTTGAGGCTCAGGGGAACAAAATTTGGTGAAAATATTGCCAACTGTGCTGAACAATGGTTAATTATCTGGACACCTACTGTAATTCTGAACAAACAGGACAAGGAAAAGATAACTCATATACAGTGGTACAGTGATAAGTATTATGTAAATACTCTTACAATAGCATCATTAAAAAGGAATCACAAGTCTGATGAAGCCTCCAATTTTTTGAATGCATTGCTTATTGTTCGAAATACAATTTTGAGGAATTTAAAAAGTTTTGAAAAACGTTTCCAGCCATCACAAAAAAACTAACATAGATAAACTCTGATAAAAATTCTTTGGACAAAATCTGTAAAAATAAAAATAAAAATTCCGAGAAAAGATGAAATCAAAATTTTCGAGAAACGATTTAAAAAAAATATTTTTCGTCTTTGACCCACATCTTCTGTCCAAGTTCAACGCATTGATGATACCTATTATTCAAACAAATCATTGGAAATGTGTCTGTCTTATTTTTGCTGCTGTTTTTTTTTTTCTTGCTTGGTCATTCGTTTGACTTTCAATTCAAAGACTAACGCAAGAAACGAAGCAAATCAGCAACAACAAAAAGTTTATCAATGAGATGTTGAAGAATGTGATTCGACACAAAAACCGGGAATTGGAAACAAGGTGACTATCGATTCTCGCGATATGTTTACGTTTCGAGATTTGTTTACATCTCAAAAAAGAAACGAAACATTGCCGGAATCGTTTTGGAAAGAAGCTGGAATGAATCGTGTTATTTTCATTTGCGTCACGAGAAACGATCACGTGATGAGGATGATGATGATGATTATGAAAATCATGATGATTGCAGGTCTGGGGTGCTGTTGACATACCTGTCTGTCAACGTGTCACCTTGGCTGGTTGTGCTCACCTATGGCGCCATGTTTGGTCTTGGACTCGGCATTGCATACATTGTACCTGTTGCCTGTAACATGCAGGTACTGTAAATTGCTTCTTCCTTTTATGAATGAATGAACAGAAAACTTTATTTGCTGCTTTTCAGCATTCACAAGGTACAACCAAAACTCCCGCATCCAAACCCCCTCCCCACCCAACCCAACTCCCCCAAAATACATTCAATCACTTCAAAGCATGAAACAAAGCACAAACCACTGACAAAAACAAAAGAGAACACACTCCGCAAAATAAAAACTGGACATCTAATGCGTATGTTGCATACACCCACCCATCACCAATATTGAAGACAAAGCAGCAGTAAAAGTTTATTTAAAGCACATAAGGTCTTCAGCCTGTTCATGTTTCACAGATATTGTATATGGGGATCTAGGACAAATTGAGACAGACAATAATGTGAGACAAGGTCAATTTTGAGACAGGGCCAAATTGAGGCAGAAACATTCAGAGACAGGGACATATTGAGACAGATACATTTTAAGAAATGGAGACATTTTGAGACAGAGACTGTTTGAGACAAAATGACTTGACTGTGTTTATCCATAATATCTTATGTTGAAGGTGTGAAAAGGATATAATGGAACTACAGTAATTGGTAAAAAAAGGATTTTGATGAATTAAAAATTGCAGCCTGATAAAATTATATGTCCATAGGAGGAATTAATTGCTATCCAAATGGATCAGATATATGGCAAACCTTGTTTATTTTTTAAGGTTATTTTGGGAATAATTCTGTATTTACTCAAATGCCAAGTGCCCCTGAGTAAGCCACACACCCTAATTTTTCAGCAAAAAATGTGTCTGAAAACCTATCCCAGTGTGAGACATTCACGCTCACACCACAGTTTTTCTGTTTTTCCCAAGATTTAAGAATTGTGAGTTCTTTTTTGTGGATCCATTTTCCCCTATTGACTTTTCATTTTTCCTGCTTTTTACTGTCTGCAGCCCCTCAATTATAGAAATACAGTATCTTCTGCTTCCTTTACTTCTTCAACAGATCCCTAAAACTGCTATCCTTTCAACCACTATTTCCCATGAAAAATTGCATTTCTTCTTAATTTTTTGTTCAAATATGCCTGCATACAACTTGCAGAATTTTAAAAACATTTTCCTAAAAAATTTTATCCCTAGGTACCATGCACACTATTTTTTTCTGCCTTAAATTCTGGAAAAAGTTGTGCATGGAACTTAAGTAAATACTACAATCAGTACACCTTGTGAGTTACATAAGTAAGCTTGTGATATGCATGAGTAGCTATCCAATGGGAATCTGCAATTGCTTTGGGGCTGTCTCAAATTGTCCCTTCTCAAATTGTCCCTTCTCAAATTGTCCCTTCTCAAATTGTCCCTTCTCAAATTGTCCCTTCTCAAATTGTCCCTTCTCAAATTGTCCCTTCTCAAATTGTCCCTTCTCAAATTGTCCCTTCTCAAATTGTCTCTTTTGAAATTGTCTCTTTTGAAATTGTCCCTTCTCAAATTTTTCCTTCTCAAATTGTTCCTTCTTAAATTTTCCCTTCTCAAATTGTCCATATCTCAATTTGGCCCTGTCTCACATTTTCTGTCTCCATTTGTCCATTCTCAAATTGTCTCAAATTTCTTGATTTGTCTGTATCCCTGTACAGTATAAGGATCCATACAGAAAATTTGTATAGTTGTTCCCAGAGTAACAAAAATAATCCCATTTCCGGATGCTTTTTGTGGTGCAGAGCTTTTTGCAATGCTAAATTCAATTCCCCTTCAGCTGTCTGCTGTTCAGTTGTGTGAATTTTTGAAATTCAGCAAAAAAAATAAAGATGCAATTATCTTGGTCACTGCCACTTGTATTGCATTTCTAGAAAAAAGAATTTTTGTACAGCAGAATTTTGTTGCAAGGAATTTTATAACGACAAACTTTTGTTCCGCAAGAATTATTGTCACGATTCATTCCAATATGGACATATTGTCGAGTTAATTGGAAAAGATTGCACGGCATGATTAAATTTTAAAGATGTGTGAAAGAAGTGATCACTCTTACTGAAGCACATTTTGTTAATTTCAGAAAATGTGGACTGAATCAAGATAAAATAGGAAACACTTTGAATGCAATAATTTATCTTCAAAAGACGCATCATTCATATAAATATTATGTATTTTATCCGCTCTGTTCAGTGCTCACTTATTAACTAAATTATCTAAATTAAATCATGACAATAACTTATTGAACCACATTTCTTTGCTTTTGAAAACTTGTTCTCTTGTGTTCATGAGCTTCTTGCTGTCTAGTTTTCTGAACCCTTCGCAAAAATCTTCTACCCGAGTTAAAGAAAGATCTCGAGTGTCCGATATTCGCATCATCAGCGCAGTCGAGTCTCGAACTTTGCAAGAAAGAGCTTATAAATACCGCGTGCCAAAAATCTAATGGCATGCCTTCTCGAAGCTAGAAGCTTTCCGACCCCATTTTCTGCAAGCAAAAAAAAACGGGGGAATGGAAATCATTTCTCTCCCTATTCTTTTTACTGATGTGATTTTTAAATATAGGGGATGTTATGTTTATTTATGAAGGGAGAAGTGGGATATAATATTCTTTCCTCTGTTGTATTTCATCTGCTTCTGTTTCTATTAATTACACGGGAAAGGGGGAAAGTCATTTGTCTTAATATTCGCCTCGCTTTAATGAGGGAACCGAAGTAATAATTGTTTGGTTTTTCTCGTGAGGAAAGAGAAAGAAATAAATTATATTTATTTCTCTCCAGAGAATTTTCAGACGATTTATATTTTCTTTGATTGTGTACGCGGAAAAAATACATGGCGAGAAACAATGTCATCCGCTCTTTTTTCTTTGCGAATTTTTAAATAAAAATAACGTAAAAAGTTGCGTGGAAAAATAAGGCAAAATTTCTCCTTTCGCTGGGAATTTTTTTTTTTTACGCCTGGGCTTTTTTAATATTTTTTTTTTTGCAGTGGTTTCCTGATAAACGAGGTCTTGTTACCGGAATCATTGTCGGAGGATTCGGACTGGGATCTTTTGTGGCGACCCCCATTCAAACCGCGATTCTGAACCCGGAGAATTTCTCAGTGGATCCAGGAAGCAGGTGAGGGAAATTCTGCTTGACTTCAAAGAATTCGCCTTTTTTTAAAGAAGACGGAGGTTTTACTGCATTTTTCCATGGAAGGAACTGAAGTTGAGGATGCCTGTGCCTAATTGTTGTGGATCCGCTGTCCCAGTGTGATGAGTGCCTCATTAATTGAGGCATGCAAGAGTAAATTCGGGGGAAAAACTGCCCAAGAATAAAAATGATTTTACCAGAGAAACAAGGAAAATTTGAGAACTTCCTTCCAAGGCTTTCTTCCCCTTCTTTTCTTTGACTCTGATTTGTTATCTTAACTGGTTGAATGAAATGCGGTTGCACCGCAATAAATGAAACACTTGATATACAAAATATAGGTGATTGAATATATCTTTGGTTTGATTAATCACAATACACTTGATTGATACACACAACACAGTCAAGATACTTTTAGTTGAAGAAGTCTTGCTAAAAGTATGAAAGGCTTCTTGAGAACAATCTCAAGAGTCTCCAACTCATTTCTCTCAGCTGGAAGATCCTGGGGAATGATACAAATATGGAAGTATATAAACTTCTGGATATTTAGCTCATGAAATAGTTTCAGATATAGGAAGCGTATCCTGGTCTTCAGGCCAGGATGCTGAGTTCTTGGGAACCAGCGCAAAATATATTTGAAGAAGAAGAAGAAACTAGGTTCCAGGAAGCTGTAATTACCATCTGTTACTGTCAGCTGGAAAAGGAACAGAAATATATAATTGCAAAGAAAATGGGTCACACGCATTAATGGGATAGCGCAAAAGTTGTCAAACCAAAACAAGGAGAGAATAAATATGTGGGAAAGTCTTGGTCCATTACTTTTTATTTTAGAAGGAAGACATAACTGTGAAAGAAACTAAAACTAAATTGTCAAGCTTTTTATACAATAACAGATTATTTTGACCAATCCCAGTCTTATAAAAAATTGCCTGATCAATCCGTAGTAGAGCACTGGATCAAGGCCAGTCACAATAATTAATAAAAACCCTTTTTAATTTTTAGTCTTTTTGCCAGTTTGTCTTGAGCTGTCTTTGGAAGCAGTTGTGTACTCAAAAATTCTAGAGCTTGCTGAGAGGTTTTCTGTGGTTGTCATTTTTGTATCTTGGACTTGTTCTTAAAATCTTGAACAATTGTTGGGACAATTTGAAATATGAATCTAAATTTAATTTATGTATTCTGTCAAGAATTCCTGGCCCTTATCTCAGGCTGATTCTGTGTTTATTTTTCCACTTTTAATGTCTCTTTTGATCCACAGCCCTTATTTTCATTCTTATCTTGCATGTGGTGACTGTTGTCCCCAACATCATTGATGGTTAATAATGCTTGAGTCTAATTTGGCATGGATATTATTTGCATCCTCAATGTATTATTTGCATGATTAATCTTGTAAATTTAAAGAAAATTGCATTGAGAACTGTGCCGAATTCCATTGAATGCATTTTCTAGTTTGAATGAAATCTAGAGTGCTTCCCAGTTCACATTCTCTGCAAAAAGATTTTTCTTTTAAGAAAAATTACCTTGTGAATCTTCAAAGCATTTTTTATTGTCAACATTGGCTATGCCCTGTAGTTCTGCCACTTTTTCTTCAGAATACTTTTTTAACTGGAAAGGCTAAAAAAATTAAAATATCTTTAAGGAATTGTAGAAAATTTTCATAAATTTTATTAAACCCTTCATACACAACATCTGAAGTGATTTGCGCGAACATTGCCAAGAAACAAAAGCTACGTCTGTTTTGATGAATAGACTCACATATTTTAGAACAACATGGCATTTCAAAAATGTTTAATATCCTTTTATTCTAAAGGTTCTTCACTGAGGATGCAGTCTTGGATAGAGTTCCATATGTTTTTCTCATCTTGGGCTGCATGTACGCGTGTCTACAATTCGTCGGCTGTCTTTGCTTAACGAATCCCCCGGAGAAAAAGACGCCGGTTGTGATCAACTATCAGGTTCATACCCGAATATTTTATTTATTCAATTCAGGATTTACGAAAGAATTGTGAATGCAATGCTGCTTTTTTTTTGTGCTTCAGTCCGCTGATGGAGAAGCTGGCGAAAGCCTGGAAATGCTTGAGGCGAAACAAAATCTTGAAGTCGGTGAGAAGCTTTCGAGAACAATTTGAGAACATCAACAAAAACCTGCTTTCAGAAAAAAAAAGAAAAATTTTGGGAAAACTCAACCAGTTGACTAATTAATTTCAAATTTCTGTACTCGTTATATATAAACTGAGGTAAATTCTTATTACAGCCATTCAAAAAATGCATGATGACTAGAAATTAGTTTCATAAGACTCGCAAAAAAATTTGTTAATATGGCGAGGAACCAGAAAAGTGTTTCTTTTGAAAAATAATTTGCAAGTAAAACTTTTTCTGTACAGAAACACAGAAGATAAGCCCACTCATCAAGAGAAACCACTTTCCTCCTCTTCCTTCTTCCTCTGAAAAAAAAAACTCAGAATTCACTCCACTGCCAATTCTTCAAGTGTTTAAAGCTCAAAATTATGCATAGAATCCTAACAATGACCTTGTATGATTTTATGCTTGTTTTATGTGAAAGTATTTGTGTGTGATTCTCTTGGGTTGAATAATGTTGTTTTGGGACATGAAAAAATTGTGCCAGTCCCAGGCTGATTTTTGGGTTTTACTTTCAATTCTTATAACTTTTCTTTGTTAAGGAACTTCTAATCCCTCAGACTTCCATAACTCAAATTTTCTGAGGCCTTCCTTCTATGGTTTTTTTTAAGACCAAGTAAATGGACAAGCAATAAAATTGTAATTTGATGCTTTCCAGAATGAAGTGAGCAGCAAATGCACTCTAATTTTGTAGTTCAGCACCCTGTCCATTAATTTACTCTGCAGTTCAAGGTTTAAAATATCACTTTTGATGCTTGACAGTTTTTCAGCAGAAAAAAAGAAACAAGTTTTCCTAGCTCAAAACCGGCTAGAAGTGAATTTTTATACTGGTTTGAGATCAGACTGTACAGTACAATGAATGTTGTTTCCAGGTTCAAGTGACTTTGTTGTAACATAATAAGATTATTTCCATGCTAAGACTTATTTTGCCTCCACAGAAGAGAAGAGAGATGCAAGCATGAGACCAAAACAGGTCCTTTGTGCCAGGGAATTCTACATGCTGTGGTTCACATTCCTGTTCAACCAGGGTGTTGTTGGGTACATCAACACCATGTACAAGGCATTTGGTCAGACTTTCATCAGCAATGACAGGTTTTTGTCCACTGTTGGAGCAGTGGCGTCCATCTGCAACTCACTGGGTCGGATTGTATGGGGAGCATTGGGAGACCGTTTCCACTATAAGGTAAAAAGGATTAATGCTTCAATCAGTCTTGAAAACATCTTTCAAATCTTTTTCTGGCTTTAATTAAATTAAAAATTGGTGGTGTAGCACTCTAAAAAAATGCATCTTAATACAGGGGGTACAATTTGACCCTGATCCATTGCTGGACTAAGTTTGAATTGCAAAGTGGTCAAATTTCAAGAAAATGTCAAATGGCATATTTTCTGCATGTCATTTGACAGTTCACGGCACTCCATAGGTTGAATTTTGCAACAGAGGTCAAATTTTGAGTTGAACTCCCTGCAAATTTGACCATCAAATTGCTGGATGGCCAAATTGTGGGAGGTTTAATTTGGAGGTACCACCTGTACTGTTTAGAACTCATCATTCTGAGTTTTTTTCAGAAAGAACGAACTATTAATTTATGAATAATGTATACTTTTCCAATAGAACCTCAGTGATGAAGATTTCCTGTATAGTGTGTCCCCATTTTACAGAAGACCCATTCCACAGAAAATTGTAAATGTTACTTTTTGTGGTGGGAGAAAGTGACACATAATATTTTTGCCAAAATAAACATAAATTATAATGAGTTTGGAGCTAGCACTTTCAAAAAGCAAGGAAAATAAAATAGAAAGTAATTTTTTCTTTTTCTGGTAATTTCCATTTCTGAGTTACCGGTACATAAATTCAAGAAAATAGTTTTGTTGAATGAATGAATGAATGAACAGAAAACTTTATTTGCCGCTTTTCAGCGTTCACAAGGGATAACCAGAACTCCGCATCCAAACCCCCTCCCCACCCAACCCAACTCCCCCAAATACATTCAATCATTTCAAAGCATGAAACAAAGCACAAACGAATGACAAAAATAAAAGAGAACAGAAAAATGAATGAAAGAGATGAAAGAGAAACTGGACGTCCTACACATATGTTGCATACACCCACCCATCCCCAATATTGAAGACAAAGCAGCAGTAAAAGTTTATTTAAAGCACAAGGTCTTCAGCCTGTTTCTGTGTGAGTTTTAGTTCAATAAACAATTTAGAGAGAATCTTTGATGAGAAATCATATAATCATATAGTTTTGTTGTGACTGCAATTGACTTGTAACAACAAAGTGAGATTTAAAATTTCTTTTGTTTTCAACAGACCCTGATGCTGATTATGACCGGTGTTTTGGGCGTTTTGGTTTTGACATTCAAGTTGACAGAATATGGCGGAGAAATTATGTATGCCATCTGGGTGGTTAGCATATATTTTACAACATCTGGAAATTTTGCTTTGCTGCCAATCGCAACTTCCAGAACGTTTGGGCTCAAGAGTGCTGGTGAAAACTATGGCATGGTATTTTCAAGTGCAGTAAGTATTTAAAAAAAATTATGCATGCAGAAAATAATTTTTTCAACACGTTAGATCACTCAAGTCATTGTAATTTTTGTAGTGGTAGAAAAAGACTCACTTCGAAATTTTAGACTTAAGATCAATCACATTTATGTAAGATTGCAAGAATGTAAACAGGAGAGACATTCTTCAAACATTCTAATGACAATTAATAACAATATATTATATAATATATTTTCCCAGGAAAATTTCCTTCTTTGAAAAAAGTCCTTGTGTTCAAATGAGTGAAACGCTTATTTTTCTGTATTCAATTTATTTTCAAATAAATAAATAATATTTTACGGTATTAAATTTTCACTTTGATGCTTTTTCAAATACAGTAGTCAATTTTAATTGCGGTTTACTCCTCTTGAACAAACTCGGATAATTTTTCTTTGAAAAACTGTGATCCATACCATACGTACAGCGTTTGGAAAACTGCCTTTACCTTATTTTTCGTCCTTTCTCAAGAAAATGTTTCCCTTCAAATGAAATCTAACGCAATTTTTCACCAATTTTTAAGGTGGCAAGTCAAGCCCTGCAATCGCTTATCGCGGGCTTCCTGACTGCAAAGCTAGGGTCCAACGCCGTTCTCTATGTCACAGCATCGTTTCCATTTCTCAGTAAGGTTTTTAAACTGTGTCTAGGTGTCGCTCAAAACACCGTTAATGCATGTTCTTTTCCAGGTTTCCTCATCACGGCGTTCTACCACAAAGAACCAACCCCAGAGAAAGTGAGAAGCCGGATGGGATTACCAGCATATGACGAGTGATTCGTATTTATTT